CCCCCCCATACACTCACACATACACGCACTTTATAGTTATTTTAAGCGTAAGCACCAAGATGCTAGGTTTTCAGGAAGATAGGTGAGAAGGAAATTACATTCAGAGCAAATGGTTGACCTCAATGAGACAGTTTCTATTCTGAGTTCATTTCCTTTTTTTCGGCCAAATTATGCCAAGCGGCAGTGGACAGCTTAGATCGCAGCTGTTTTTTTCCATCCATCACAAAATTACTACTTAAGAAAACGTACCGCTGGTAATACTGCAGGCCCCGAGCAGGATCCTCACTCCTGTGTAATACTCTACTCTGCAAAGAAGGTGGTTATTATCTACTCGCTCTCCGTTTGCCCCTCTGTGCTGAGCGGCGCTGGCTGACACTGGCGGGTCATTATGAATGGAGCGTGAGCTGGGGGGTCACCTCCCCTGCCCGCCGACAGTGCCCCTCATTAGGGTTAGGGCTCTAATGAGAGTAGGCCTGCTTGTCAGTTATCAGCATAAAATGTAGAAGCTGTCCTTCATTAGTGGGCATTGCCCGCGGCAGCATCGACAGTCTTATTGTTGAACTTATTGAGTCTGATAATTAATATTGTAAATTATGCCCGTTTTGTGGGTTAATAGAACAATCTGGATGTAAAAATAAGTACACAGATCATTACTTGGAACACAGTCTGTTTTTTCTGTTTTTTTTTGTTTCATATATAACCATTTGTTTCCCTTTTAGCATCTGAGAAATGTTCATTTAACTGAAAATGATACTTTTAATGAATTTTTTGTTAAGTACTGTACGGTGTCACCAGGCTCGGCTCCATGGGTCTGGGGGGGCTGGACCACCCAATCACTAGCTTGGCCCAGCCCAAGGCTCTGCTAATGTCAGCCAATCACAGAACTTGTTATACTGAATAGGAAGGCGCCAGGCCAGTTTGTTTGCTTAAGGCAGGCTTTTTAAGCTGTTTCACACAAACCCCCCCCCCACCCACATCTCCAGAGAATCCTGCAGCCCACCCTGCGTCTCCGAGCTGGAGCCGGGCCTGACTGTCTCTCATTTGTCACATTGTGTTGTGTAAATAAGCACACAGGCTGTTTCATACTGTGCCGAACGGATGCAAACATTAATTGAAATGCGGCAAAGTGAAATATTAATTATGGATGGATGTTTGACGTTTGTATGAATAATAAGGATGAAGTTCTTGGGGTCCAGAGGTGAGACGGGACTGGATGACAGCAATTCAGCTGGGAGCCAGACAGAAAAGGGGCAATGTGAACTGGTTCACAGGGCAGTAACTGTGGAAGGGCTCAGGCTGAGCGACCGGGGGCTGTCAGCGGCCCCCAGCCTGCATCTCGTCACTGAGGGGATGGTGCTGACTGATGCTGGGATGGATTTAGGCAGGCGGCGGTGCTGGCTTGCGTACGATTCATCCACCTCCCGCAAGCTGACCGTATGAAAAAAAAAGTCCAACTTTTTCCCTTTTTTTCTAAAGCCTTTAATTCACTCTCTCAGTACTTATTACCTAAATAACTGCCAGTTCAAGCAGGATCTTCAAGCACAATCACCTCCTTGTGGGTGAGGTTTTAAGAAGAGCTCTGTCAATAAATGAAGTGCACCAGAAAAGTCAGCTAGAGCTAACGGGCGAGTCAGAGAATATGTGCGCTAGGCTAACAGGCAAGTCAGAGAGCATACGCACTTGGTTAATGGGTGAGTCAGAGAGCATGCATGCTAGGCTACCGGGTGAGTCAGAAAGCACTGCACTAGCCTAATGGATGGGTCAGATAGCATATTCCCTTGGATAATGGGCAAGTCTGAGAGCATGTGCACTAGCTAACGGGCGAGTCAAAGGACATGTGCGCTAGGCTAACGGGAGAGTCAGAGGCAGGGTTGCCAACTCTCACGCATCTGGTGTGACACTAACGCTTTCTGACTCTCACGCTCACGTGAGAAATCTTACAGCAACTATATGTTATTTCATGATAAAACTAATATTAGTTGCATCAAGAGTGGTGGGGTAGTTTGTAAACCCTACAGACTACAAGCTAATAGAACTGTTACATACATGCATACATGTAGATGAGTGTGCGGATTTGACTCAAATGAAAATCTCACTCTAGCCAGCTGACCAAAGGGTATATGCACTATGCTAAGAAGCAAGTCAGAGCACATGCACATGTTAATAGGCGAAGGAAAGAACACACGCGTTAGGGTAACATGAGTCAGAGGACACACGTGTGAGGCTAACGGGCGAGTCAGAGGGCACACGTGTGAGGCTAATGGGCGAGTCAGAGGGCACACGTGTGAGGCTAACGGGCGAGTCAGAGAGAATCTGTATGAGGCTGAAATCCAGCCAATGGGATGTGAACTAGTGACCTTCTCAGTCCTAACACACCACTAATACTTCAGATGCCTGATCTGCTTAAACATTAAAAAAATTACGGGCCAAAAAATACACATCACTCTTATTTTAATAGTGTCATATTTTCCGAGCTCTGAAAAGATTCTGTAGGGTTTCCTTTAAATGCTGCGGGTGACTTCACGGTGAGTAGTTTTTTTGAGGCGGAAAGTGAGAATGAGGTTCATGCAAGGAAAAAATAAGTACAGGGTTTGGGAGGCCGGTGCCGTCATGCCGGGAGCAGAGGCTGAGCGGGGAGCTCCCTGCTGGCGATGTCCCTAACCCCGCTGTCCCTGCTCTGTCCCTAGGGGAGCCCAGCGCCCCCAGGCTTGAAGCCCAGCTCCAGCCAGCTGGCAATGCCCTCAGGGTGAGCTGGACCAAGCAGGACGATGGGGGCTCTCCCATCACGCACTACATAGTCAGTTACAAAGCAGTGAGTATCAGGCACATGCCAGTCGAGGGCAGGGTGGGGGGCTGGAGGTCTCCAGGAGGGGGGACTGAGCGCGGTCCTCTCTGTCTGTCCCCCAGAAGCTCGCGTCCAACTGGAGGCCCGAGATACGCCTGCCCAGTGGCAGCGAGTTCGTGGTGCTGCACGGCCTGGACTGGAACACCGAGTACAATGTTTATGTGGTGGCCGAGAACCGGCGGGGCCAGTCGCAGCCCGCCACACTGGCTCTTCGCACCGCGCCCGCCCCCACGGCCGCCCCAGGTACCGCTCGCTGGCACAGCCGGCACCCTCTCCCGTGTCATCCGGAGCCTGACCCGCTGGGGTTTAACTCCGCTGCTTCGACTAACCATGCAGGGCTCGGGGTCTCAGACCCACGCGGGGCACAGCCAACACAGCTGCCCGCCTGGGGTTTAACTGGGGAGGGGGAGCGAGAGCTCCAGCCCTGAGTGTGCCAGAAGACCACATGGAGGTCTAACAGGCTGCCGTCCTCATGCGTCTTCCCTGTGTGGTTGCTCCTCTCTGATCCGCATGGGTTAGCCCAACCCCACCCCCTCCCCACACCCCCCCCGAATTCCGTGTTCCATGCTTGACTGACAGCTCTGCATGTCTCACCATCTCTTCTGTCTGCCTTCCTGTGACCTATGGCCCCCCCTGCCACCTCTTTTGGGGGGGGGGGAGCGTCACCAACCTCACACGCCGAGGCTCCTGGTTATGATGTCATCGCAAACTGTGATGCGGACGTTAATACCTGGCCTCGCCATGGTAACGACACCCAGCCAAAGCTGAAAGTCACAGACGGTAGTACGGAGGCTTGCCTTGCTTTTAGTTCCCATCCGTCTTTGAAGCTGAGTTCTCTCAAGCTGAAGGACAGTGTGAATTACTTCTGGTCCCAGCCGTGGTTGCTGTCACTAAGGAGCTCTGATTCTGGCTTTCCTGTAGCCAAACTGCAGTAGTACTGGGCTTGTGACTCATTTTTATAATGGAATCACAGAATCACCAAAGCACTATCCTGCATAGTACCACCTGGGAATGAAGGTGCACCTTCCTCATCTATCCAGTAGGGGGCTTTAATGAACGGTTACAGCTCCTGCATCCCCACCCTGTTGTTCGACCACACTGTGGCTCGTGCTCACTAATCCGCACTTCTGGCTTTGCACCCGCACTCCGTCCCCACAGCACTGGCCCCCGGCGAATTTCAGCGCCGATTTCTAAAACACTGTCCGCCGCCCTTTCAGAAAAGGGGGGGGGGGGAGAGTGATTGCTCGTGGTCAGACTCTGCGGCCTTTTCGCAGGGCGCCACTGAGAGCCCCCTGCGTGGAGTCGACTGCTGAGGAGGACGGCGTCTAAGTGTTAACGCTTGGCTGCAAGTTAACAAGCACCCACCGAAAATAGAGCTACATGTGGGCCACGTCTCGGGGGCTGACATTCTGAGCGTGAAATAAGCTCTCCTCTGCGGTGTCAGCACGAGCGCGGTCTCTAATGCGAGACCCCTTGCCGAGAGCCGCTACGGCCATGCGCCTCTTTTAACTGGGAACGGCACATCTCCCATAATGCCTTGCGTCCGCTTATTAAACACGAATGCGGCTGTGTCTTGGAATAGCATGTCTGTTCCTACGAGCGGCTCCATGACGAGTCCTGACAAAATGAAATAACAACAGCAATAATAATAATAATACTACAGTATTTAAGGTGGCATAGAGTAAATGTGTGTGATGCGCACCAGGCCTGTCACCCAGCATGAGTATGTGTCCTGTCTCGTCCACCTTCTGTCCCCTGCCCTTCTCCTGCAGTCACTCGAATGTCCTCTCTGCTCTCCTGCACTCCCTTCTCTAAAAGTCACCTTTTAGGGCAGCCGTCCTCCTACTTCCTTTTCTGTTTCAGTTTAGCGTCCGTACCTTTCTGTAACTTGACTTATTTTTTCTATCTTTCTCTCTCTCTCTCTCCCTCCTTCCCCTGTTTTCTCTTTGTGTCCATTGTGTGGTCTCTGACCAAACCGGTTACTTGTTTAAAAATCCGATGACTGTTGTCCTCAATGCCGCCCGCCCTGTCCCCCTCATCGGTGTTGCTGTGGCGACTGTGTGGCATGTTCTGCTGTGCGTGACGCCCTTCTGTGGCGCGTGCGTCCCTCTGTCCCCCTGTGGCATTCACATGCCGTTTCTGCATCCCTCAGCGACCCTCGGCTGCTCCTCTCTGACCTCCGCCCTGGCCTCGCTCCTCATCTCCATGCTGGCCGCGATCCTGCTCTCGTAAGCCGGGTCCGGCGTCCAGCCCGGGGGCAGGGAGGCCCCCCACGGGGCCCGGATGACGGACAGACACAAGGACAGTCACACAGATGGGTTATCGTGGAACGGTTTTGGGGGGGGTGGGGGGCGTAGTGCAGTAGTTTGATTTCACTTCTAATTAAGAGTTGATTTTTTTTGTCCTTATACCCAAAGAGGCCATTTTTCCTCCATTATGGTGTCGGAATTAAGAGCATTAACATGAGATGGGAAACGTGACTGTTAGCGGCTGTGCTGTGAAAGGGGAACAGGAGGCGTGGCCTCCAGTGTGTCTGTGTACGTCGTCGTAGAAACAACCCCCCCCGCTTGGCCTCGCCTCTGCCTTGCCGCACTGTCACATCTCTATCTGAGGGAATCGATAAAGGACCCCGACTCCCTCTTCCCGGCTTCTGGAAGGATCCTCTGCTTTAAAGAAGAAACTATATCATTGTCTCACCCCCCCCCCCAGAAATATGCAAAAGATTTTTGAGCCAGTCTCTTACTTTGAATTTTGCCCGAGGAATTACAAAGAACTGTTTATTTAAATTCTGTCAGTTTAGCAAAATTATGCATAATTTATTTAGCATAAATACACTTGTCTCTGTACCGGTCTTACATTTGATTACAAACAAAAATAACAACCTTTTGTGTACAAGCAGGTGTATTACCATAAATAAGAAATAATGGGTCTAAAATGACTGAATATATGAAAATGTTTACTGAATAACTATATTTATAGCGGCACTTACATTTTAAACTACAGGTGTATTGTGGAAATAACTTTCTAGAGCAGTGTTTCCCAACCCGGTCCTCGGGGACCTACAGCCGGTCCGTGTTTTTGCTCCCTCCGAGTTCCCTGCTAAACAGCCCACATTTTTGCTCCATCCCAGCTGTCAGGGAACTGGGAGGGAGTAAAAACATGGACTGTCTGGGAGTCCCTGTGGACTAGGTTGAGAAACGCTGTTCTAGATGGGTATTGTCTGTATGGTGTGATATTTTTATTCCCTATAGGGGGCAGTGTGCATGTTTGTTTAAGGTGTAATGAGGATTTCGCTGTGCCAGTCAGTGCAGCGCTTAGGCCCAATGAAAATTCTGCAAGGAGAAATAGACATGGACTTTAAATGGCTTGAACAGTCATGTGACGAATTTGAATGTGCTTCTCTCACGTTTAAATGAAGTCAGCTGGAAATAAAGGAAAGGTTTGTGCTCCCTGGTTTACGGGCCGTTTTGTTTGTGATGCTTGAATTCTGAGTTTCATCCTCACGTTGGCTGCCGTGGTGGGAAAGGAGCTGTGTTGTGCTTTCAGAAATGTGATTTTTGTAGAAACTTAACCCTTACCGCACTCATCAATAACAGACATATTTGTGGCCTGACATAGGATTTATTTAGTGGAGAGTTGTGGAACTGTGGTAAAATGTACAGCAAAAATTTGGGATGAAAAGGACTGTTTTATAAACAGGGGTTGTTGGGAAATAAGGCAAAGCAGCGTTTCCTCGGTGAACTTTGCATGGCAGGTGTGGACATGACTTATTTAGCATGGTGGGTCATCCAAGGGCTGCCTGCATCTGTCAGATGTCCTCTACACACATCCTATCTCTGAAGCCCCTGCCTCAGGATCTAATTCACACAGCATATGCTTGTGAGTCTCAGTTTGTGCTGCTGGGGATATGTGTGCCTGTGTGTGTGTGTGTGTGTGTGTGTGTGTGTGTGTGTGAGAGAGAGAGAGTGCGTTTGATGCCTTCCCTCTGATGTACACACAACCACAGTGTGTCTCTTTCACGCCACACTTGTTCAAATGGGTAAAAACAGGAGCAGCTTCGGCCCCTTAACACTTTGAAGTGCCTTAAGAAGTGTTACCTTAAGAGTATCCAGGACAGCTCCCCCGGAGGACGGCCCGGGCGGGGCTCTGCTCCAAGCACGGCGGATCTGCAGCCAGAAACCGCACTGCTGGTTACCACGGCAACCATTACAGCAGTCACCCTTGTCTTTTACGTCAGATCTCCAAAGCGATTCCAAAGGCACTTATTAAATTTGGTTTTATTTTAGGGAACGGTGGCCTTAAATATCGAGCTGGTGAGCAGATGGATACCCCCTCATATGTGCCGGTAAAGATATCCTGCCATGTTGACTCTTAAGGGTCGTTATTATGGTCGGAGCTTAGAAATGGCCGGCTAAGTAGTTTGAAAAGCGCTTCAAGTATTCCCAGGGTGAATAGAGGTGCTGTCCGTGGTGCTGAATCACATTCCCAAAGTTGGAATAACTGTCGTGTGCAGATGGGAAGCTCGTCCTCCATGGGTCTGATGTGGAGTCCGCTGTGTGTGTCGCTGGAGCCTTGCAGCATGTGTGATTTCCTGTTACAGCCCTGCCTCTCATAAAGCAGAGCAGCTGTAATCTCATTCCGACACAAAACCGAGGCTTAAAGCCTAAAAGCACCCAGAGGAGTGAGTGGCAGGGTTGGAGGAGCAGGCCGTCTGTCTCACACTGTCCGGGGGCTGCCGTATTTCTCTTGGGGGAAATGACTTGTGCACTAACCATTTATTTTCTTTTTCATGATTCCCATAAAGCTGTTGATCATGTTTAGCAGACTTTAAAACGTCAAATGAATTTAGTGTCTGGCGGCGCTTTAATTTTACAGTTTTCTGGATTGTTTTATTAAATCTATGCTGGCTCGTTGTATATTTCCCATAAGTCATAACGTGCCCACAAGCTTTGTCAATCACTTCCTGTTTTTTTCTGTGTTCAATTATTGTGTGGTACAGAACATTTAATTAGGCCTGTGTACTCTTCTGCTGAAGTGTTCTTGTTTTTCCCGATTGAAGGCATATGTTTGTGTGCTTTAGGTAATGTAATCTGCTGTACCATGCTCATTCCCATGAAAAGACCTTCAGATCTTAATACTGAAAGGATACAGTTTAACTACGACGTTATTAATTGAAGGTGTGTCCTGTCACACGATGGAAGGACTTTTAATGATTTTATTCAGCACAATACAGCTTTAGGCTGTTTTCCTGCATTCTTACACTTCTGTATACTTCGGTGGAAATTACTGCTTTGACATTTAAGAGAATCTCACTACTGAATCAACACAAGTTTGGAACTAAATTCCCAGGTGAGACATGTAACCTCTGCTCCTCACATTTGGAGCAGTTACTTCCCAAAAAGGAGATGTTTGTTTGTTGCTTTTTACCAGAAAATGGTAAATTAACCTTTAAAGTGCAACACTGCCCTTCCCCGCAGAGAGAAGGTTTCACTTATTATATATAGGTGTGATTTTTTTTTCACGCGTTACTGTTCCCAGATCAGTGATTATCCTCTCGTCTCTTTACACCAAAGATCCTCTGGATAGTGGCAGACTGGGCACCGGGGCCGTTGCCGGGATACTGGTGGTGGCCTTCGTGGTGCTCCTTGTCATCGTGGACGTTGCCTGCTTCTTCATTAACAAGTGCGGCCTACTGATGTGTCTGGCGGCCAATGTGTGTGGCAAGCAGGGGGCAGGCGCCAAGGGCAAAGACTTCGAAGGAGGAATGGCAGCGTTTTCGTGAGTAGCCACTAAGAAATGTCACTCTTCTAGTCTCACAATACTAAATAGAATGTAAGTCAGATACCTGAAATACCAGGCTTTTTGTCTTTCAAAAGATTGAGTTGCTCTCCCTAAAAAGGATTCTGATTGGTTCTTGTTGTGGTTTGACTTTGATCTACAATTGTTTCTGAATTCTAATTGGTCTATGCTATACTGTATAGTTTGACATTGACCTAGAATTGTAGTTGTATTCTCATTGGTCTGTGTTATATAGCCTGATGTTGACCTAGAATTGTAGCTTTGTTCCGATTGGTTAATGCTCTATATGTTGAAATGACCTCGGAATAGTAGCTGTGCACTGATTTGTTCTGTGCTGCATAGGCAGTGGTGCCTTGGGGACAGCCAGAGATATGTCAGCCAAGCTCTGTCCTCTGCTCACTTTGTGAGCATTCACGTCTCTCTGAATCTCCATTCACAGAAAGGATGAGTCCAGGGAGCCCATTGTGGAGGTTCGCACGGAGGAAGAGACGCAGAACCACGATGGGGGCGTGCTGACGGAGCCCAGTGAGACCACTCCTCTGACAGACTCTGAGTGCGTGTCACCGTCTGGTGTAAAATACAGCCTGTTTTCTTGCGATTTTTATTGTTTTCTGTCATTCATCCATCATCCACTCTCGGTTTATCGCTGTAATTTCTTCTTTCCGTCCCTTCTGTCCTTCCTCTGCCGCGCTCGGCCCCGCCCCTCGTCTCTCTCGCTCTCTTTCTCCGTCTCTCTGTGGTTTCCTGTCTTCCTGTGCTCATGCCTTCTCCTCGGCCTGCTTTCCAGGCGCGCCGTCGACATCACCCCCACAGTGACAAACCTGCTGCCATCGCCTGTCATTAACTGCGACACGCCAGACTCGCTGCCCACCAGCGACAGCATGACCCCGCTCGTCCCGCAGTCCAGCACGCCCAAAGCCACGGGCTGCCCTCGGACCGCCCCCAGATACGTGACGTTGGTCGACCTGAGCGACGCCCCAACCGTGACGGCTCCCCCTACAGGCCGGCCCGCGGCGGCACAGCCTCCCCAGAATGAGACGTCACAGAACCCCCCCGAGCCCAGCAGAGCACAAAGTAGCCTCACGTCCTCTCCAAAACAGAACTCCATTCCAGAGAGCAGTCCCGTAGGTAAGACCCCTCCCCCCACAAGCAGCAGTCAGCTCTGTGCAGTTGTTACACTATCCTGCCACGCTCTAGTGACCAACCCTCATCATTTCTTACTGCCTCAGGCACATTTATGAATGACTGAATGAAAGTTACATTTATCTGCCACTTTTCATGACACCCAAAATGCATTAATGGGGAGCCACTTCAACCAGCACCACCGTGTAGCCCCCACCTGGATGATGCGACGGCAGCCATTCTGCACCAGTACGCTCACCACACAGTAGCTAAGGTGGTGAAGTAGCAGGAGAGAATTCACCAGTTAGATATTGGGGGTATTTAGGAGGCCAGATTTGAAAGGGCCACAATGGGCAATTTAGCCAGGGCATCGGGGTACCACCCCTGCTCCTTCGAAGGATGCCCAGGGGTCTTTTATGACCTCAGAGAGTCAGGACCTCGGATTTGTCTCGTCCAAAGGACATGCCATTTTCACAGCATAGTGTCCCCATCACTGCACTGGGGCATTGGCATCCACACAGACCACAGGATGGACTAACCTGTTGGCCACACCAACCTGCCCATTCACTTCAATCTAAAATCTATGCTGAATTTGTTTTGGAAGTGGCTTTTGGCTGGGTTTGGGCGACCTCTTGTGTCATCATAGCAAGTGACCGCCAGTCTCCGGGAAACCTTCCCAGTGAAGCCCCGTTGGCCTTGATGAGTTTGAACGCTCTGTTAGGGCTCCTGGAGATGACTGTGTCAGACTGTGCAGGAGGGCAGTGCTTAATGATTCATCTTTGCTCTTTGGTTTCGGTTGGGTTTAGCTTGAGTTAATTGGGGTAGTAGTGCCTAGTTTGGGTTAGACCCTGTAAGGTCTGCACCTCTGCCCTCCCTGCATTACAGATGCTACCCGGGTTACGATGGTCTGTGTTACAGTATTTTGACTTTATGATGTATGTGTATGATTATTCCATAGATTACATGAGAAACTCAACAATTAATTGTAAAATAGGATTTGTGTTAATGATTATGCCCAGATCTAGGCTAATGTAAGTATTTTAAGCATGTTTAAGGTAGGCCAAGCTAAGCTATCATGTTTGTTAGGTATGCAGTATTAAAATTTCGCCTTACAATATTTTCACCTTACGATAGGTTTATCGGAACGTAACCCCATTGTACCCTGGGGACCATCTGTACTGTATATGTAATGTATTTCACACTATAACATGGAGTGTATTTGTGTATTCGGATCAGTAGTACGCTCCTCCTATTCTACATCCAGAGTAGCTATACCGTACTCTAGCCGGTCGAATGGCCTGTTTCTGACCGCTTCCTCAGGCCCCCCCATGGCCGCGGCCCACACCTCCAAATCCACCAGCAACGGGGGAAACGTCCAGCAGAAATGTTGCAGAAGCACATAGGCAAGGCTGGCAGGAAGCAGCTGTGCTTATCGCCTCAATACAGATGCCGGTCTTAATAAGTGGTGGGACCCCCATGAGCCGTAGGGGCTCACCAGACACAGGGCGGCTCTGTCACCCCGCCATCCCATAGTGCAGTCCCTGGTTTCAGGACTGTCAGAACCACAGACACAGAGTCTATTTAGGGCACAACCTTGAATTATTTTTTTTTGGACATCAGCGCTAATGCTAATTAACCAAGCTCGGACCTGACCGGTCAGGGGTGGAGTTTAGGGCTCATTTATAGCCAAATCCTTTTTTTTTTTTCGTTGATGCTTTGAAACTGCATCTGGCTTCAGGTCCTGCCCGGAGCCTCATTGGTGTCCTCTTTGTGAACTTGTCGCCCACAGCAAAGTCCCAGTAGCCGGGAGACAGGCCCGAGGCGGAGGAAATGGGGAGGATGTCGATGGGAGTCTCCCAGACGAAGCGACGGCGAGAGTGAAAACAAAACACACACATATACACATAAAAACACTGCAGCCCCTGATCAAGAAGTAGCCCTGCATCTGACACACGAGCCCTTGCAGCAGTGTGTTTCTTAGCGCACCCGTTAATTAGCGTAGCTTGGTCCGGGGCGGGGGGGAGATGGGGCCCCCGTCGTTCACCTTACTGCTCCTTTTCTCACTGCATTCAGAAGTCGCCGGACACTGAGGCCTCTCGGCCGACGGTGAGACAGAATGGGTCTCCAGCGGTGCACAGCACACCTTTGTAATGTCCGGCTGCTTTTACCAGGCCAGTCTCTGTAGGTTTCACCCGGAGATTCTGATCCAAATTCCCAGCATCGCAGCAAAACCATAATACCACTGGAACAGTATTGTATATAGTTTCTCAGATATATTTCGGTAACATTCTGAGGATCATGCTGTACATAGATATTATTTTCGCCACTAATATGCTGCACGTTATATATTTTTTTCTTATGTTCATTTTCATTGCTCTTACTGTTAATTATATTGAGGGCAAGAATTTCAGGAAAAACGTAGGTACTTTACAGTATAAGGAAGTTTCACATAAATGTTCACGTTGTTTACCGTCCTTTTTACTTGTTTATGACAGACTTTACATGTTTCATGTTAACATAAAGAATATGACAGTGACAGTATTTTGCAGAGTTTCCTACTGCATCTTATGTCACAAGTAATTTGGTTTAAAAATATTTAAGCAAAGCAAAAAAAAAATGTTCAAGCTGCTTCTCGATGTTTCACATTTCTACTTTTCGCACCCTTTGCAAGCCACAGCTAATTATGAACGATACATTTTTTATTTTATTTTTTACCAGCTTGACCTTTGACCTTTGTAGGGACTACAGGGCACCTGATTTGCATTGGCCAGCAGGTGAGATGGGGTGCGTTTCCATCCAGCAAACCACGGAAAGCAAAGAGAAACAGCAGAAAAGATCCCTAACAGATTATTAGAAATTTAGAAAGTGGTCCCAGTTTCCTGAAAAACACAAAACAGCCTCCATCCACAATGGACCTGCAGTGCAGAGCGAGTCAGAGCACTGCTGCAGTGGACCTCTGTATCCATTGACCCTGCAGGCTGTGTGAGCATCACTGCTAGCCTGAGAAGCTTGCGCTAGCGAGTCAGAGCACTGCTGCAGTGGACCTCTGTATCCATTGACCCTCCAGGCTGTGTGAGCATCACTGCTAGCCTGAGAAGCTTGTGCTTGGTTGCCTTTGGAGACCGTATTTGCTCTGCACCCAGCTTGTCATGTGTGTCATTACCACAGTAATCCCCTAAAGCCCCCCCCCCTCCTCCCCCCTGTGGTATTATCCCCATTATCTGTTTGATCCCACCAGTACCACCCCAGTATACCACTGGCACCCCCTACTCGTGCAGTTTCCCTAAATGCCAGTACAAGCGGTGCATCACGTTGGCACAAGCAGGCCAGGGAGATGCCACCAGTGCCCTTTCTGTGCCCCCTTCCTCCCTCGGGTTCTCTGCATCCTTGTGAAGGTTAGCTGCTTCTGCCACACAAGAAAGTTGAGCTAATAAAAGGATAAAAGATTTATTTTTTGTAAGAACAAGAAAATAAGGCAGCCGCATTATGGTTTGTACTTTAGATTGACGCCACTGGTAGATGTTGAGGTTCAGCTTAAAAGCGTTTTTGTTGTACATTGTTGTTCTGTGTGCTGTGATATTGCAGGACATTTTTATAATAATAGGAAACAAGTGCTTTTAATCAGCAACGCTGTCATGGACAAAGAGCTTTTTCCGACGTTGTTCTTTCAGTAATGTAAAAAGGAAAAGTGTTACATTACATTGATGTGTTAGTAGTTCGTTTATTTTGCCTGTTATTGCCATTAGTGTGGGACCAAGTTCTTTGTGAGTTTGCAAGAGCTAGTGTGTTGTGCTGCAAAAATATGTTCAGAAAGTTAGAAATACTGTACAAGGGTTAAAAAAGGTGACAGATGGTCTAAATGTTAATAGAATAGGGGCCTTGGTCAATGTTGAAGTGTACAATGACAGCCTCATTCTCATTCTTACCCAGAATTCCCTGCACTTGGGGCCTTTTCTTGTATGTATATATTTTTCTCTTTCCATTGTCCTGGTGTAAATACTGATTACTAACCAAGCCTCCTCCCAGTTTTCACTGTCAGACATACCGGTGTTCAATAAAACAAAATTGTTGTTTAAAAACGACTGCGGTTGTTTTCACTCTTTAACGACTCTAGCAACACGTGAACTGAAAACGATAAACTGCTAATTAAACTGAAATTGCTTTTAGATAATGTTACATTTTAATTACTTCATTTTCAACAGTGTAACTTTCTCTTATTTTCCCTCAAAGTGCCTGTGATTTTTTATTTTTAAAGGGGTGTACGTTTTTTTCGCTGCACGGCTACCCGGAGGTTTTTTTTTAATCCAGCAGAGGGCGCTACTCTCAGTCATAAACAGCCGTCTTTGCTCACATTTTGAACCTAAAACAAATATTTTAAAGATTTATGTGTTCCTATAGAAGATATTGCTAGCACTCATAGAATTGAATTATTGCTAGTTATATATTTTTCTCTGCATGCCGACGTTTTTATTTCTTTGACCAAGATGAAATGTCCTCCTAGTTACTTTAACATCCTCTAATTAGAATGTTCTCGGAAAATGGATTTGAGCTGACGACACGATCTGTGAACGTTTATACCCGGGCTTGTAGTTTTCTGTTTTAGACAGTAGGGGGAAGCAACACGTAGTTTTAAATGCAGTCTTAGTTATAAAAAAAATGTTTATTCCATTGTGTTAACTTCTTAGTTTTAGTTAAGTAATTCCTGTACCCCACAAATAATGTATAATTACAACAGTAATTATTTTGGGGTAAAGAGTTACCAGCTTGTTTGTTGTGTCTGAGCAATCCAGAACTCAACAAGCTGCTGGACCTCGAAGACCTGAACACACCTGTGTTTTCTGCTGCAGCACTGTGGGTTTGGTTTGACAAAACTGAGGATGCTCGTGGGGAGGTGACAAATGAAAAGTCTGTGTTAAACAGCTCTTACAGTATATGGAGGATATATACCTTAGTCCCAGAGAAGTGACAGAATCCAGACTCTGATGGCTCATTCCCTGTTTTGCTCTCTTGTGGACACCTTCAGGATGTGTATGATATCCTACATGAAGTCTTTCTACTCAGAACTCAGTGTGAGCAAACTTAACAAAATGAGACCTTTCTCGATTCTTCCTCTAAGGACCTTTTAAGCAACTTTGTGTGTAAGAGAGAGGGATCAGGGTGGATTCACGGGGCCTTGGCCCCTTTCTGAGTGACAAGCTAGCAGAAAACGGTGCGCACTTTGGATGCTCATGGCAGGTTTACTTACACAAAAAATGTTCTAGGGGCAGAAGGAAAAATGATTGGTTCAGAGAGATAACCAATCAGATTGTAGAGGAGGTGCCCTCAAGAACATTTTTGTACAAGTAAAACTCCCACTGGCATTTTCGCAGGATGTACAGTCATCACCTTCCATTGCAGACTAGCTATTTGAACAGGGCGTCTCCTCCTGCGTCTGCCCATCTGACGTGACTGTGATCGGCGTTCCATGACCTGTGTGTCCTGTGAAGCTGCACATTTATTAGCTGTGGGAGGAGGGGCAGTGGTTGGGTAGTGCACATGTTTTGTTGATATACTGTAAGCATCGTGCTGTATCCCATTCCCAGCTTCCCCAGCCCATGAGTGAGCAGCAAGTCTCCATAATACAATAAAAATAGTCTCCATTTAAACAACATCAGGAAAGCTATGATGAATGTATGAAAGACCAAACAAATAAAATAAATATTTCTGTCTCCCTAAAAGCCAACAAGCAGTTTACTACAAATATTGAACTTTTGAGCCTCATCAGTGTGTAAAATCAGAAGCTGCAGAAGAATTTTACCAAGAATAAAATCTACGAAATAGTTATTTGAGTGACAAAGGTTAATGGTCCCTTAAGGGTCAAAGTGACAAAAGTTATGGGTCACAGTAAGTGTCGATGGCAAATGGAGTACATTCAAGTGATTTCACAGCCTCCTGGATCTACAAATCCTGTCATTCATCACTACATTAGAGGTTTCATTTAGATGCTACCCAGTGGTTATGGTGGTTAGTGGTTCATAAATAGACATGAATATAAACAAATATGAAAGTCGGATAAAGTTGGTAATAGAACAATGTCTTATTCCCCTTAAATAAGAACAGTTCATATCCATGATTTTGTCATGCAACCGTATAAGAGTTCACCAGCCACTTCACAGTCCATCAGTTCTGGATTGATCTGCATATGGGCGGCTCCGGCTCTCCATCCGCGCCCTCTGGGTGTCCCACGAAGCGAAAGAGAAACAGGCGAGTGCCCCGCCGTGACGTCACAGGCCCACTGATTCGTTAATAGGGACGCGCGGAGGAGCCGGGGCGCGCAGAGCGGGCACTGCGAACCGGCCCTAGAACGGCGCTTTGGGAAATAACGCGCGCTCCCAGGTAAGTCCCAGCATTAAGGGCGCTCGGCTGCCGATAGGTCTGTTTTTTCTCTGTTACTTCTGGGTGCTTTAAGGCATCGATTCCGTGTGTTTTTAATTCTGAAGAGTCGCCTATAAAATTGCGCACAAAGTAATTTACCATTACAATAAACTTATAGTGTTTGACTAAGAATAATGGTTGTTTTGTCTTATGCGTATCCCATGTGATTGTCAATGCGTCACATGCCTGTTGAATGTGAAAGAATGTACATTTGGATATAATTCATCAGGATGTGTAGAAGTCTATGGGCTAGAGAGCAACAGGAGGATCGCTGGTCTGGCGTAGTGGCGTTTACAGTAATATGCATATATAATGCATTCGATTTGCTAAGACCTCTGGGCTATTAGGGACTGCTCGTTTACCGACTCTATTTTTAGGAGTATTTTGAAAGTGAACGTACACGTGTGGCACACTTGATGCTTTTGGAAAGCAGTGACGGATGGATATAATTACAAAGGTTAGTAAGATGATAAATACGGCTGCACAGTGCAGAACAGGGTACGAAAGTGCGCGGTACAAGGTACCAAAGAGCGTGTATGGCGACTTTGGATATACGCGCTTATGTATTTAGATATATTCGGGAAAACCGTATTTATCTAGGACTTATTGATGTTATCTTTTGCACTAAAACACGTGCCGATTCTAGATAATTAACTGAGTTTGTTTCAGACGAACGACGCAACTGTGCTTTCAGATGACTTGCGTGATTCTTCAGATGTTTACCAAGCACGGTTTAATTAACTTGCATAATGTGATCATTATTGTCGTTGGCTCTTGTCTCGCTGTAAGTGTCAAGTTTACACCAAATAGACGCGGTTGTGTATGAGTTGAGTTACTTTATGTAATATGCTGGGGCGGGCCGTTTTAAGGTTTCTTTCACGCCTACGGTGTGTTTTAACGCGGCCGCCGCTGTATCTGATTACATCAGTATTTAGGGATGTTCTGACGCCCGAAACATCAGGTGACGCGAGATACAGTTCAAATAACTATTTCAACAGAGCAATTAAAAGACCGAATGTTAAGTTGAGCGGCTCGACTTTAGATTAGTCCCCCATATTCTCATTACTTTGCTTGTTCTGATTGAACTTAAATATTAACCAATACCGAACACTCACCTGTATGTATTTGCATCATTTTATGCCAGTGTATACAGTTATTTCTGGACAATTTATCCGTGTTTTCTTTTCTTTTATTTTTAAGCCTTTTAATTTTTTATGGCAAATTACATTTAACTGTTAATCTCGTGCTTTAATAGGTGGTTGACTACTTTTATTAAGTTTAAGGCACGGGTAAGTGGTTAAACATTATTAACAATTATTTTTAAATTACTCATTTCAGAACAACAACTGATTTAACCGGATTTACTTATATATATATCACCATATACTGCTGTTAATGGAAAGACACACCCCACAAATTCCCTACTTTAGACATGACTATGACAGATTTGGTTGGGAGGGCTCAACACCAAGGCTGAGATCACATTGTCTTGTGACATTGCTGCTCTTTCTGTGACACGCCCCCAGTTTGGGTAATGTGCTTCATGAGCTTTGATTTGTTCCAGAGGAAATGATCCATTTCAGACCAATTTGGGGGGGGGTTAAGTCTTATTTCCAGGACAGTTGACTGCCTTTGGTACCAGAACCGTATGCAGGGTACACCTGCCCGCTCCATGATGGAGAAATGAAAATGTGTATTGAAACACCTGCCAGGGAGGTCTGTGTCCCTCCCCAGGTGAACAGCATTTCTCTCGACTTCCTGTCTTTCACTGCAGCCACCACAGCTTTGTCTCTATTGCGTCTTTTGGGTTCGATCTAATTGCCGTGCATAATGATACTTTTCAAATTGGGCTTAAGTGCAGATCTGTGCGTGAGGCCACATTGAAAGGACAACGGAATCGGGCAGTGATCTCACTGCTTTAATTGGCTTAAAAAGCTTGTCAGGTTGACACTGCTTAGCAGCCTTGTCCTGGCGGCCCAGGTCCGCTCGTAGAAACCTAGGGATCCATTTTAACGGTGAAGTTTAATTGTGCTTTGAGTCTCAAGTGGTGATTCTTTTCCGCCGTGGACACGCTCTCGCTCGAACATATCTGTAAAATGCTCATGCTTCTGTTCCGTTCCGCAGATCCTGCTGACCAGAGATAAGAGCGAGAGGAACGACAGCCTCATGAGTCAGTCGGAGGTGTCACGCATTTGACCACGATGGACGTTGTCCGGCTCCAAAACCCCAGCCACCCCTCGGCCCTCCTCCGGAAGGCGGATCAGATGCGGCAGGCTGGGACCTTGTGCGACGTGGTGATTGTGGTGGACAGCCAGGAGTTTCATGCTCACCGCACCGTGCTGGCGTGCACCAGCAAGATGTTTGAGATCCTCTTCCACCGCTACAGTCAGAAATACACGCTGGACTTCCTGTCGCCAAAGACTTTCCAGCAGATCCTGGAGTATGCCTACACCGCCTCACTCCAAGCTAGGATCGAGGACCTGGATGACCTTCTGTATGCTGCCGAGATCCTGGAAATCGAGTACCTGGAGGAACAGTGCCTGAAGATCCTGGAGAACATCCAGACCTCAGACGAGAAGGACACGGAGGTCCTGGAGAAAGACTTTCACCACAGGGGAAGGCAGGGAACGGAGCCAGTGAAGGAGGGCAGCGATGACAGCCCGGCCAGAAAGTGCTGGCCCCAGGCCGACATGGTGGAGCAGAGTCCCTCAGTGTCCACCTCTCTGGGTCTGTCCCCGATGAGTCCCACCCGGGCAGCCATGGACAGTCTGATCATCATCAACCAGTGTCTCCCTCACGGTGAGCCGCAGGATGGCATCACGGGAGACGTGCCCCCCCCGGAGAAGCCGGCGGGCCGGGATAGTCCGAGGGAGTCTGAGCCCAGCTCGTCCTGTGGCGGGGAGGCAGACCTAAGCAGAGGCCTTCCCACAACCCCCACCAGGGGCAGCGTGATAACAAGCGCCTGGGCGATGAGCCACGGGAGGGGGGAGCCGCCCCAGGCGATGGAGAGCGACCCCTGCCCTCCTTCTCCGTTCCCTGCCCCTCCTAACCACCAGGACGGTCCCCTGTCACCCCAGAGCATGCGTCCTGCACTTACCCTTGAGATGAGGGCCTGTAGGTCCCTCCTGCCCCCTGGCTTTGCCCACAGGGACTTTCTTAGCCCTGGGGAGCTGGTCCCTGGCCGGGCTGCTGACACAGAAACGCAGGGCGGGCAGTTCGGCACGTGCGGGTCGGAGCCGCTGGACGGCAGCACCGCAGAGCAGCACGGGTAGGTCACGCAGGGCATCATGGGATGTCGCCCACCTGAAACCGAGCAGCGGGGGCCGACGTGCACATGGCATTATGTGATGTTACCTCCTCTGTCGCTATGGCCGCAATAGCACAGGTGTCGTCTTATGAAAGCTGAATCTTTGGGATGGTGTGGTTCAAGGGTCTCGCAAGCTCCAAAAAGATCAAAAATATGACCTCCACCATGTGACAGCCTCCCATGAGGCACTGCTTTGGACAGGAGCAGACCCTCATTGCTCCACCCTCACTCCCACTTAACCTCACTTAACCTCTTGTGGCAGGTACTGTATCTCTAAATTACAGTTAGATTCTGTCCCTTGGCCATGGCTGCCTGCCTCAGTGTTCGCCTCCTAATTGGAGATGCTGGTCCAGCTTTGGAGGGCAGTGCGCATGTTCCAGTAAGGTGGCAAACGCGTGCGAGACGTGATAATGTCACACGAGCACCAAAGATGGATGATGGCCGTCACAGACATGCCATTATGTGCAGTGTATCTTCTCAGTGGTGGCATTTCTGAGGGAGAACCCAGGAACACGACCTGCCTGCAGGGTCTTCACAGAACGGTTTACACTGATCTCATAATATATGGAATATCATGTAAATGGATGTCATGATTAGAGATTTCAGTCCCTTGCCTTTGACTGTTTAAATGACAGGGAAACGTGTAAACGATTGAACTGGCTTTCTGCCATTATCTCTTGATCTGACTACCATCTTCTTTTGGGTTAAATGATTCATCTTTATTGAATCATTTCTAATCACATAGTTGTTTGCATAATTATTTTGAATGGACTATTTGTAGGGTCTTGTATTTCTTTAAATTTCATATTTTTTAATTGTAAATTTTGTTTTCTGTGTGTGGGGTGTTTTCAGCAGCTGCAGTGTGGGGGATGTTCCAGTGGAGCCACAGGGCAGGGGGGCTAAGGCTCACAGTGTACACTGCGTGGGGGTGCTGTTAGCGACGGTGGCTGGTGTGTTTCTGGCTTGTGCTTTCGACCTTGGGACTCGCCGAAACTGGATGGATTTTTGGAGCATTAGGATGTGTTACAGTCTACTTAGAAGTTCCATCTACGTTTAGTTTATGTAAAACCAGGTTTTCCCAGCGAATGGTGTTCTGCCCCTGTTATCCCAGCGCTCTGTAAGGTACTTAGTTACAGATTAGACGTTTCGCCGGCTGCCCGCTGGAGTTTAAAGCTTAACCGTGGCTCTTCTGGTATTCGTGTCAGGTCAGCCTGGGGCACTGTGAGCGCCCTCCAGTGTTTCAGGGATGGAGATTCACCTAGAGGAGAGTTTTACAGGTACTACTGCATCTGACTGCTAAAACCAATGCAGGACAGAGGGGGGATTGGCTGAAGACGGGCATGTCAAGGTTGCCTTAGATTTTCAGGAATTTTCATAACTGAGGACGTTATAGCTCAAAACAGGGGTGTTTGGAGTTGTTGTTGTGTGTGTGTGTGTGTGTGTGTGTGTGTGTGTGTGTGTGNGGGGGGTCATAGATGTTCTGCACTCACTATTCAGAGTGTTGTTGTAAACCATGAAAACTGGGTCTTAAAGCAAGGGGACTTTCTCTCTCTGCCCTCCAAGAGCGCCATGTCTGCTGTTTTTAAGTTTTGCAAAGATCCAAGGGGCAAAGTTCATCTGTGCTGCATCACAAAGGAGGAAGAATTTGTGACCGCTGAAGTTTTTTCGCTGCCTGACTGTTAGCAAGGGGAAGTTTGGAAGAAAATCCACTTCCTCCATCCTGCTCTGCAGCCGAGAGCTGGCTTGGACCCCCACCAAGATAAAAATAGCCAAGGAAGGCGGTTTGCACAGCTTTCAACTGTTCGGGTAGTCAGTGCTCATTATGTTTATTAAATGTAAATTCCCCCATCAATGAAGCTTCATGTTTCTGCCAGAAATCCTTCATGGGGTCTCTATGCAAAAGACCATATGAGGAGTGTGATTATGATGTTAAACCCTATCATTGTTCCATTATGCAGTTTAGCATGAGTAGGAGAGTCAAAACCAGACAAACTGTCATGAAATTTGACAGTGAATCTGTGCTGTTTGTAGAATTTTCTGTCTCCTAACAACCGAAGGTGTCCTCTGAGAGGCAGGACATGCCAACGCCATAGGTCTGTCTTCTTGTCGTGCCTGTTTCTTCATAAGGTTACGTGAGGCGTCTTCTGCTTCCTCTAGTCTGGCCTGCAGAGGTGAGCCGTAATACAACAGGGGCAGAGAGGAAAATAAGAAAGCAGAAAAGGAGAAGAGGTCTTACTCCTCCTCGGTTAACAGATTGGCCGGTTCAGTATCTACCATGAGTCATCAGTGCGATGTCTTTGTGTCGCTACTGAAAGTGTGGCACCGCAACGCCTCACAGAACATCCTAACCGGTCACCTCAGTCACCGGTGTCTATAAAAGTGAAGACCAGCCTGTAAACGCAATAGTGTGCTTTCTTGAATTACAGATTCAAGTAGATCTGCATGTTCCTGAATCTAGATTGTTGTAAAGGTATTAAGCTGGGCTCTAGATTGAAGGTAATTCAAAACAGACAGTCCAGATAGAAATCAGTTCTTTTTTTGAAGAGTTATTATTGATAAAAGACTGAGAAACTCTCCGGCCCAATGAGTTAGTCTATTGCTAACCTACTTGATAAAGAGATTTTCCCTATATGAGACTATCTATTTCCTGTTATAACTAAGCACTCTTACCTTTGCTTGCGGTCCAGTATGTAGAAATCTGTCAGTAAGCCCTGGCTCATTGACACACATGCAAGTTGTTATGTGCCGTTTTTAAAGACAAACAAACAAAATAAAAAATAATTTCCTATTAGTCGCCAGCACAGGGATAAAGAAGCTTTCTCTGGCATTTTCTCAAAGGCGTCTGAGCTGAGAGGACAGAAACTGGCAGAGGCATAGCCGTCTAACCTTAGCATTGTTGGACATTTTCAGCTTGGTAAACAAATACTTTTCTGGGATGTTTTGAATCAAAAGACTTGTTTGCTTCAGCTTGAAATGTTTTTGAGGTTGGTACGCCAGCCAAAAAGTTTTTTTTTTTTTTTTTTTTGTAACGAAATGGTACAGACTAAAAGAAAGGACAAAAAAACCATAAACAGAGTTTTAACCAGATCTTTACACGAAGGCGGCAGACTGAAAACTGTCAGATGTGTCAGCAGAACCTCACTAAATGAGACACTGATGTGTATCTTCCATGACTTTCCAGTCTGCCTGAAGCCGGAGGCCAGTCTGTGTATTTTTAAGCCGAAAAACTTAAAAATGCTCAGCTGTTTTTATGCAGAATCGGGAAGTAAACGTCCCTACTCTAAACGGCCACTTGTACCCGGCATAGCAGTGAAGTCAAAAACGAAGCGTGAAATCCCAGAATGCCCCACGTCCTCCGTACGGGTATAAGGAGGATTACGACGGAAGCTTGTGTGGGCCTGGGGTCAAGGCCTGGATTATAGAGAACAGGAGGACATGACATCTTTTGTTAATGTTCCCAGTGGCGGAGAGCCAGGGTTCATACGCATAGTTGCAAGTCGAGCTGTCTTCCAGCGAGGCTCCTATACTGTAAGATGCTGTTCACTTGTCCCATGAGGGCTAATTCGGACACCATCTTGCCAGTCCAGCTGCTACCGGTGGATCTGGAAATTATTACTCGAGACGGAGATGTAGACAGGAATGAGCTGCTCACAGCCCAATACTGACTCTCTTCAGCTCAGATGCCCAGTGTTTTAGACAACATAGCCTTTCCTTCCCAGAAAGAAACTGCCCCACTGTTATTGTTGGCGTGTGTCAAGCGAGCCCTGGTGGTCTAGATGTTTAAGTAACATAAAGACAAGAGCAGTGGGTCAGAATTTGCCATAATATAAACAATATTTATTAAAAGATGCTGTTTTCTTCACTGTCCTATAGGAAGCTACACGGAGGAATGAAAACGTACGGCTGTGAGCAGTGTGGGAAGTACTTCTTGGACAGTTTGCGCCTGAGGATGCACCTGCTGTCTCACTCAGGTAATCACCCAGCATGCCTTGCTGCTCTGTCCTCTTACTCTGGCAAAGATGGATTGGTGGGGAGACGGAGGTGATGACTCTCTTGTGAAGATTGATTGGTGAGCAGATGCTGGTCGTGACTCTTTCATGAAGACTGATGGGTAGGGAGGTGGGTTGTAACTCTCGCATAAAGACTAACAGGTAGAGAGGCAGGTCCCTACTCTCGCATAAAGACTGATAGGTAGGGAGGCAGGTCCTGACTCTCTCATATACACTGAGAGGTAGGGAGGCGGGTCCTGACTCTCTCATATACACTGAGAGGTAGGGAGGCGGGTCCTGACTCTCTCATATACACTGAGAGGTAGGGAGG